CTTTGGGCATTTTAACAAAGGATTATTCATACTGTACTAGAAATATATTAGTGCTTTCATCCAAAGCCAAGCAAACAACTTTAGGAAAATTAATTTATGAAGTTTAGAAGAACCCCGGTAAGATGGTAATGTATTATTTCCATTTTAGAGATGAGTAAATGAAGGCACAAAGAGGTCAGATAACCTACTCATGGTTACATGGAGAGTCATTACTCTCGAGAGCAGAAGTCAGGAGTTGTGACCTCCAGCCTACTGTTGTAACTAATAAATCACACTTAAAACAATAAATAGACTAACTCGGCTACCCCTCTGAAACTTAAAACAATATCAGGCTATTATTATGCTAAACTGATTTCTATTTAATTGATACCCTGTCTTAAAAGATCAGTTTCAATGAGAAAGAACTGCCATTTTGAAACATGGAAAGCTCATGTTTCCCAACTTGAGTGCAGCAAATATACCGCTAAATCAGACTTAACATTTCTGTGACTTTTTTAAATTAGTACAATAAAAACCAAATATTGACACTTATTTTAAAACTACAAAAAAGTTTTTGGAAATTCTATGCAACAGTCCTCTAGATAAAATTCACTGAAGATCAAGCCCACACAAGGTTTCATAATGCCTCAATGTATGGTTCTCCCCCTCCCAAGCAGGTTCCCTGTAAACTGAGCACCTGAGCAACCACCCAGGCGATATTCAAATACTGCCCAGCAGATTAACAGAGTGTCCACAGCTGGCAGCATGTGTTTCTACTAGTTGTGCACATCTGCACATGCCTCGGTGCACATAAAATTTATTCTGCACACAGAAGAAAAAAATTAGAGGGAACACTGCTCCCCAGTGACTCTTTTCTTCCAGTTTGCAGATAGAATTCCTACCAAGTAATTTTTTTCATTGCAGCTGAAGGAAGGGTAAACTGGGACAGCAGGATTTGTCTAAAAATGAAGTAGTCTTACGACAACTACAGGTTGAAGAAAAGATGTACCTGAATGCTTCTCATAGGCACTCTGAAAACAGTATCTGATGCAATTCAATCAAAGAACCCCAAAAAGGAGCCATAGCAGGAGAACGTCAAAGAAGCATCTGTGCCAAATATCCTCAAGAATAAATGATTTGTTCACAATAATTCCCTTCTCAAATAAATAAAGAAAAAAATCACATGCCAACCAATTTACAGAATCCTTTTGCTCTGATACACAGGTCAAAAAAGCAAAATATAATATATCAACTTACCAAAGTTTGTTGTAGGCATCTAGGTATTCTGGCTTTACATTGTGAACTGAAACAACAAAATTCAGTGATAAATGTAGTAGCAAAAATAAAATAAGTGTAAAAAAATGTTAAATATAAAAATATCACCCACACTGTATTTTATACAGACTGCTGGTCTCCTTTTTGGCTAGTAGATTGGAGTGAGCATCTTTCCTTGGGTCCACTTTGCGGACAAAGAGTGATTTTAACCAGCTGTCTTCACCTGCTCTGTTAGTGGATGATGCCAGCCCCCTAAACATCAATGAATACATTGCATTGTCACTGAATGTTTATTGAAAAATGCAGACAGGAGGAAAGTCAGTCAAGATCAAGCGCAGCATCATTCCTCTATACACATTACAATATTATGTTAAGTCTTTCCATAACCTTACTTTGCAGCAGTGTAAAGGTCCAGTATTTACCCAGCAAGATAAATACACTGGGGTTATGTCTATACTGCCCCCTCTTGTGCAAAAAAATATGCAAATGAGGCAAAGCATGGAATATTGCCACACTTCATTTGCATAATTAGGCTCCATTTTTCTGCAAAACCCCCCTCTTGCGCAAGAGCCGTTCTTCCTCTTTTTTCAGGAAGAAGGGCTCTTGTGCAAAAATGGAGCCTCATGAATTATGCAAATGAGGCACGGTGATATTCCATGCTTTGCCTCATTTGCATTTTTTGGGGCAAGAGGGGGCAGTATAGACATAGCCCTACTGAAAAGGCTTCCTGGGATGGCACTGAAATGGTGCAGCTTTACTTCTCTCTTGTACCACCTTGCACAGAGGAAAAGCATGGGCATGGAAGGGCACGGATGGAATGCTGCTGTGTTCCAGCTAGTCCCAGTTCACGCAACAGACCCAAGAGCCACTGCAGTCAAGAATATTGTAAGTATTTATATTAGTGTGATGGGGCGATCAAATCCTGCGGTGGCGGGATGCTCGAGCCCCGCATCCCAGCCGGGTTCGTCCCGGCACTGTGGGGGTTGCCGCTCGGAAAGCGGCGGCGGTGCGGCACCTGTTCCAGGGCAGCTAGAAGGGGTGGTGAGCTCCTCGGGCGGGGGAAGGAGAGGCGTGGCACAGGGTAGGGGCGTCACGCCGCCGCGCCAGCAAAGTATGGCGCAGGGCAGGCACAACCCACCACTGTGCCGGCAAAGCATATCAGCAGGTGATTTAAATCTGTGAGAAAGGGGAGGAAGCCCTGAGGCAAGGGCTGGTGGGAGGTAGCAGCATGGCGAACGCTGCGGAGGCAGGCATGCTGGACTGGGAAGCCCGGAGGAAGAGGCAGGGGGGTGAAGAGGAGCCCAGGTGGAACGACCGGAGCAAAGATGTGCAAGATGCGCCAGCGTTAAGACAGCTACGAGCTGAGGACAGACGTGTGACTGGTAAGATGAACTCCTGTTTTGGTGGAGTGTCGGAGTCCTGGAACAGAGTTAAGGAGTAGGAAGTGGCCCAGGGAAGGGTGTTTTTGGGCCTCCCCGCCAACCAGGCAGGGGTGCAGCTGTGACCCTGCCTTAGGGCCCTGGGCCAAGACTCGGTGCAGAGGGAGGGCTTGGGTCCCCCTACTCCGCCACCAACGGCCGAAGCCGTCGACCAGAGGTGAGTGGGGACTTTTAACTGCAGAAAGACAACAAAGAACATTTTGATACAACTTGGACCCAGAGGGACTCAAACTGGGGGAGGGTCCCACAAAAGGGTGGTGTCCGCTGCATGTAAGCGGGGAGTTGAAGGCTGCTTGGTTGGATGAAACGGCACAGGCGCAGACCTAAGGGAGGGGTACACCAGTTGTGTTCTATTGTGGGTAAAGGTGATACTAATAAACTGAGCGGTGGGACCCAACCCCCGCCAACCTCTGTGTAACAGTCGGGCTTTAAGTCAGCCACAAAACACTGGGAGGTATAAAGCCATTTTCATGCTCCTGCTCTGTTCCTGCATTGATTAGACTCCGTAAAGACTGAGAACAGAAGCCACTATGTGTTTTTTTCTTTTAAACTATTTTTACTCAAGCAAGATATCTATATCTGCCCAGAAATATGTGGTCAAAATGAATATGCTAGTGATTGAACACAAGTAAAGACTGCGCAAATATTGCTTCATTTACTGTGAATGGCATAGTAAATGCCATACATGGTCCCATGTTTAGGGAAGCATCATTAACAAGCCTAGCTTGTTAAACAAATAGTTTCTGCAAATGCCTTTGCAAAACTGCTATTTTCTACATCCTTACAATAAAAATCACAATAGACAACATGGTTTTTCTTAAAGAATACATTAGTGTTTTGGGTTTTTTTAAGTGTTGAAAAGACCATAAAGCTACCATATGATATACTCTAGCTTTATTTACGCCAATATGAAAAAATCTTGTATTAAAATGAACAGCAAGCAACAGCAACCTGAAAAGAGCCTATTGTTTAATGCTTCTTTTTTATAATGTACAAAGGTAGCCTGGATCTTATAATATTTTTCTTCTTCCCAATCCCCATTAGAAGTATTTGCTTGAAGCTTCTCCCCTTTTCTTGGAAGATTGTGGAAGGACTTTAAAATTACTTTATTCTGGGGGATGTTAGTTATTGGCTAGGAAAGCCATAGGAGAGATTACAACTTCCAACTGTGAAATTATCTTTCAAGTCCCCAAAAGACTGAAAATATTCCAGAAATAATATTGGGGCATAAAATATTGTGGTGGTTTATATTGCTTAACCTAGCATTTCTCAAACTGTGGTTCCCAACCCCCCAGGGGTCACGAGCAACTCAGAGGCTGGTTGCAGTAATGGGGAGGGGGGTCGCGAGCAACTGAGGGGGGGAGATCATGGTATCACAAGTCTGAGAACCCCTGGCATAACCAAGCAACATGCTGAAGGAGGCAGAACACCCATGTGACAGCTAAGAAAAGATAGCTGGGAATGAGGTGACCTTCCACACAAAAAAGAAAATCTCTCGCTGTTCCACTCCATGAAAACTACTTATCTCTGACCCCATTCAAACACACTACTGCACAGAAAACTAAGCAGAATACTACTGACCAAAAATGTTTACAAGGATCTTCTGTGCCAGGAATACTGCATGGCAGGTAGAGCTAACCTGTCATCTGAAGAAGTGGATTGTGCCCACGAAAGCTCATGATACCATCTACATGTTTTATTAGTCTTTAAGGTGCTACTAGACTATTTGTTGTTTTTTAAGTTTTTCCTGTTACAGACTAACTCGGTTAACCCTCTGAAGTAGTTGATCGGTAATCCTTTTGTATCCCATTGCCAATGCAAAAAGGCTCAGAATACCACTGTAAGTCAGGCCATCTATCTATCTACTATAGGGGCTGATAAGAACTTACCTTCCCTGAAAGGTGTCATGAGAGTTAGCTGTTTGTAAAGCATTCTGACAATGAAAGTCCCCAGTAATCATGTTTACTTTCTCATTTGTGAACATTACCACTACAGCAGAAAGGACATGATGGGTATGGGATACTATTGGATAACCAAGTTCTCTGCTAGTAGGATAGACTTACAACTTTGTTGTTGTTTGCCACATAAAAGAAGGAGATAGTTTTCTCTTAATTTCTTAATGAAATGGTGACCTTAATAATACTTTGCAATTGCATGATACTTTTAATCCAAGAACTTCAAAGAACTTTAAGAACATGGATTAATAAAGTGTTACTATACACTTGCTATGGAGCATTAGCAACATTTTATTCTACTCTAATCTTTTTATTAGTTCAGAAACATTCCCTACAGTAGAACTTAAGTGCTTTATACATCTCATTTGGAAGAATACTCCAGTCTAACACAGTGGTTCCCAACCTTTTTTATGCTGTAGACCAGCAAACCCATTCACAAACTTTTTTCATTATGCAAATAATGAATATGCAAATAAAATATTACCTGTCCACTGATCTCCAAACCAGCCCCTTGCTCCCCAGTGCTTAATACCCTTTAATCCCTTAACCTCTGACCCCTACAACCCATGCCAATACCCTCTTGCCTTGTAACACCACCATGCCCTCACCCAACACCCCTTTGATCTTTGCCCCCATGCCCACCTATCGAGCATTGCTATTACTGCTGCGTAGGCAGGGGGAGCGGCCGTTGCCTGTGCATGCTCTCCCTCCTCCTTCACGCCCTCTCCCTCCCCAAGTGCACCTTGCGCCCCCATGGGTAGAATGGGGGGGGGAGGAGGGTGCAGAGCTCTGGCCGGCTGCCATTACCAAAGGTGTTGGGGGACACCCCCTGCTCTGCCTCCTGAGCCCCAGCAAAAGTTGGAAAAGCAGCTGCGCAGGCAGGGGAAGCGGCCGCTGGTTGTGCACATGCTCCCTCCTCCTTTGTGCCCCCTCTTCCCCCCCAAGCAGGGAGGGGGGAGGAAGAAGGAGGAAGGGAGGCTCCTCCAGTTCCACCTCAGCCACCATGGCTGCTCCGGCACCTGTGCTGGTCCATGGACCGGCAATTGGGAACCACTGGTCTACGGACTGGCAATTGGGAACCACTGGACTAACAGACTCTTAGATTCCAAGGCCAGAAAAGACCACTGTGATGATCTAATCTGAGATCCTGTATAACAGAGGCCACAGAACTCTCTCAAAATAATTCCTAGATTTCTTGTAGAAAAACATCAAATTTTTATCTAAGAATTAGAGGGGTAGCCGTGTTAGTCTGAATCTGCAAAAGCGGCGAGGAGTCCTGTGGCACCTTAGAGACTAACTGAAGTGTAGGAGCATAAGCTTTCGTGGGTCTTTGCCCACAAAAGCTTATGCTCCTACACTTCAGTTAGTCTCTAAGGTGCCACAGGACTCCTCGCTGCTATCTAAGAATTGTCAGTGATAAAGAATCCACCATGACCCTTAGTAAATTGTTCCAGTTGTTACTCTAATGGTAAAACATTTATACCTTATTTCCAGCCTGACCCTTACTGTTTGGGAATGTATCTAAATTGTAAAAACTAAATTGTAACACAGGGTAAGAAAATGTTACATCATAGATAAAGGATAGGTATATGGGGTTTCCAACAGCATAATATTTTTGGTTTTCTGGGAGCCATGTTTCTCACAGCATTACAGGCAACCTATCACGGAATCATTTTCAATCCTTTTCTTTAAGGCACAGCCTGACTTTACTGGTTATGGTCCCAATCCCACAAATTTAGAGTACTTAGAGAAACGCATGTGTGTGTTGGCAGGAACTAGACCTACAACTGCATCTGCTACGTAAACAATTGTTCTATATACAATTGTACATCCAGACTGGGTTGTAAAGAGAAAAAATGATCAGCCAATGTGTGTACATATTTCAAACTGTTAGTGACTCTTGTAGAAGAAAGAAAGAAAAAAAGAAAGAAAGAAAGAAAGAATCATTGATGCCCAAGATTTCAATGGGACACTTTTACTTTAAAACAATTCAACAAAACAAATTTCCTTATTTTGGAAGCATCATTGGTACCTTGTTACTGAAAGGAAAATTGAAGTTTTTAAAAAGCAAAGTTTAGTTTTCACTGTTTTGCTTCTGGCATTACCCTTATATTAAAAAATAATAAAAGACTAATCAGTTTCTAATCAATTTCACCTTTCTGTTCTCATATACTACCTCAGTGCTACAGCAGGCAGCTGAAAATATTGATTTAAAAATGGGATTCAAGACACAGGGACATATTACCATCCACCAAGTTTTCTTTTAGTCCAAAACCTAGATTCAATGTTAGGACAAATCCTAACTAGCTGCCCTGATGGCGTTTCCCCGGAAAGAGAAAATGCTGAACGGAGCAGTCACTGCAATCCAGCCGACAGGCTTTGATTCCTGTTCTAAACACACATGAAAGCTGGGGCAAGTACAACATAACCCAGGCTGCACGGGCCCATTCCAGCAGGGCTCAGCGGGGCGGGTCCCCCGGGGGCGTTGGGGCAGCGGGGCCCTGGCGCAGATGGCGGGAGGCCTGCGCTGCAGGGGGTCGAACGCAGGCTGTGGGGGGAGCCCCCAGTGCGGGCGGGGTACGAGGACAATGCGGGGGG